TTTTACTGTTTATGCTGTTAATTTGTTTAACACTTAAAAAAATTTTTATTGGACTGGCCAGAAAGTTTGAGTTTTCCCATACCCAATATTTCATCTAGATTTTGTAATTGTTTTTATCACCTTCAGGGGAAATGCTCATCAGAGAAATCCGGCTTTGATCTGTTCTTTACAGTGCTCCTCAAAGAATAGTTTGCAGACAAATTCTAGTCTACCAGTCATTTACCACTCTATAATGAGATAAGAACAGAAATTGAGTATAAACATCTAGAAACTGTTAGAATAATTTATGTTGCTGTGAAATCACAGCATGTAGTTTTGTATGTTGTAAAAAATGTATTAGTTCTTAATATACTAGAGTGTGGGGGGGGCGGGGGGTGGTGAAAGGTAGCCCTTCATCACAGTTGGGCTTCCCTGGTGGCTCAATGGTAAAGAATCCACTTGCAATGCATGAGACACGAGTTCAGTCCCTGGGTCAGAAGGATCCCCTAGAGAAGGAAATGGCAACCTACGGCAGTATTCTTGCCTGGGAAATCCCATAGACAGGAGCCTGGCGGGTCTGTGGGGTCACAAAAGAGTCAGACATAACTTAGCAACTAAACCACCACCATCATCCCAGTTAATTTGAGAAGCGCTTCTTCATACAAGAAGGTACTAGTCTCTTACAAGCCTTCTGTTTCTCTGCTTTTATAGAACACATTGTAAAGGAGGAGAGAAAACTTTCTGTATACTCTTATGTTAAATACCTGGGGCCTATGAATTAAACAGACAAATGGCAAATTAACAGGAGAAAAGATTTTCTTTTGGGGGGGGTGGATAGAGAAAAGATTTTCATTTGCACATGGTGGGCAGTAAAGAGCGGGCATGCTCACAAGAAAAAGTGAAACCCACAGAGACCCAGAGGCTTATATACCATTTTAACAAAGAGTGAAAGTGAAGAGACTAGACAAAGGAAGGAAGGGGGAGTTTGGGTATCTAGGGTTGGAAGTAAATTGTAGGAAGGTAATCAGAAAATATATGGTAAAAAAGAGTTATTTAATAAGGTTTGTTACACAGGTCAGAGTGGTTTTCTTCTTCCTGGTACATGAGAAGGGAACACCTTTACAAAAGGAAATTTCTGTCACTTTAATAAAGGGAAATTAATGTCCCATTTTTAGGCAGAATGGAGGAGAGTAGAGTGTCTTCCTGTATGTGCTGATTTTCAGTTGCCTTCAGCTCAAAATAATCCTTTGCTAAAGTGGCATATTTGGGGCTGGAATATTTTGATCCCTTCCACATACTTACAGCCATACCTTGTCCCTCTAGACCTGTGATCTCTTTTGTTTGTTTGGAGAATTTGTTTTTGTATAATTTTTAAATTTTTTATAAGTAGTGCATTACAAAAGTTTTAAAATTCAGATAGATGAAATGAGGGGCAGTTAAGATCATTCATAATCCCACCACTTTTCACAATTCAGCGTAAACATCCCATAGTTTTTCTCTGTGTTTAGTATAGAAATATTCCCCATACTCTTCCATAGCAGGATTTCTTCTCTCTCTCATTTCATTCCCTCAGAATGGAACCAACTAAGGAAATTCAGAGCATGCTTATTGAAGCTTCTTGGCAGCCTCAGAAACACCCTGAGATGGGAAGCCAAAAAGAAAACCAATAAGAGAAGGCTTATAATTGTTTTTAAAAGCATATTATCAAGTAAAGTTTGTCAAGAATTAAGACAGTGAACTTTTTGTTCAAGATTAATATACTGGGATTGTATGTTTTACGAATATGTATATTTTAAGTTTCTAGATGAGTAAAATTTGCATAAAAGTATTTTTAGCTCTTATTTCTGTATCTCATAAAATTTTTAATTAATGGATTGCCTTTTACTTTAATATCAATTAACATTACAGATAACTAACCAAATAGCTTTAATAATAGAAAAATTACTTTTACAGTAATGACTTACTTTCAGACTAAAACCTCAAAGAGCACGCATGCTTGTTTTTAACATTACATAGGCGGTTTTGTTTGGTGCCCCTGGTTATGAACCATTGTATTAAAAAATGTATAATAGCCAAAAGATCCCATTTATAATAGCAACTAAAAATATAAAATGCCTCGGAGTGGGGAACCCAATAATCAATATTTGGAACCAATGTGAAGAAAACCTTAAAATTCTAACTCAGAGACATAAAAGGCAATGGAGACCAGGACATGGAAGCAACCTAGATGCCCATCAGCAGACGAATGGATGAGGAAGCTGTGGTACATATACACCATGGAATATTACTCAGCCGTTAAATATGTAAATCCATGGCTGATTCATGTCAATGTATGACAAAAACCACTACAATATTGTAAAGTAATTAGCCTCCAACTAATAAATAAATAAATAAATAAAAATTTAAAAAATTTAATAAAAGGCAATGGAGATGCATATCATATTCACAGATGAGAATGTTAGGAAAATGTTAATTTCTACTTGTTAATCTATAAATATAATACTATTTCAGCAAAATATTTTTTAAAAACTTCTTAGTGTTTGAGAAATTGATTTTAAATTTCAGCTGGGAGGAAAAAAAGTCTCATAGGAAAATGTTGGCAAAGAGTAATAATGAAATGAGACTTATTTTGCCAAATACTAAAATAGATACTATTGCAGAATTAAAAATGGTATCAGACTAGATACCAAAATAGTGGAAAAGAGTAGAAACCTAAAAATAACTTCGTATGTGTGTATGCATATGTAGAAATTGTCATTTCAATTACTAGTATTTTCACATATGTCCAGGAAAATGAATCGATTCATGCTGGTAACTGTAGCCCAGGGCAGTAAATGATTTCCAGTTATTTCCCACTGACTGGTTCCCTCTTTAAGTATTTGCCTCTCACCACCTTACTACCTTCTCCCACCCTTAAGATTTTTCCCCCTTTCAGATCCCTCCAAAAAGCCTTCCTCTGGCTCTAAGGATTCTTATTGCTTTATGATGCAGTTTAGCTTTCTCCTTTGCCCAACTTATCTCTCATCTAAGATGCATCGTGCTTATCCTCACATTTCGCAATTAAAAAGGAAGAAGGCTAAACAAAGCTATAATTCCCTCACTATGTGTTTTTAGTCTTCACAAATGAACCATCCAAGCTTAAACTGCAGCCAGCTTTAAAAATAGTGCTTTTTTCTCCCCACAACACAAAGAAATGAAAAATATTCAGCCTCTCTAGTAATCAAAGAAATATAAATGAAAGCATTTATGGGTGACTTTTTTTCCTCCTATCTGATTGGCAAAGATTAAAAAGAATAATCATCCTAGGCGAGCCAAGCAAGGTAGAGGAAAGAACACTTTCACACTCGGTAGTTGCGGAGTAAATTGTTGAAAGTTTTCCAGTAGTATATGTATCAAAAGCATTCTTTTCTATGCCTCTTGACCTAGCAACTCTGCTTGTAGGACTGTTGCCGGTGATCAGGGTTGTTCACATAGATGCATGATCACATTCATCTGGGCTTTATTTCTGATGATGCAAAATAGGCCCTGCAATACTTCAGAGTAGACTGAGCCATCATAAAAATTAGTTTAGAAAAGAATCCTATTGAACATTGGAAAAAGTTCATTGGCTGTGAAATGAAAACTAGGTAAAATTGGTAAAGCTTTGTATAAATGTGAAAGTATTTTCATATAATATGGTCAACTAATCAGTAAATATTTACTGTGTACCTAGTATTGTCAGGTTTTAGGTGGGAATATGTTGAAAGTATAAAATATACTTGTTCTTTTAGAACTTCATGCTACATTTGAACTGTTGAGCTTGAATATGTATATTTGTTCCTTGCACACTTAGTAGGTGTAGCTGTAAATAGTGGAAAGAGCATTGAATATAGGTAGGGATTTGAATTCTGTCCCTGTCACATACGTGTCTACTCACTTAGACAAATTATTTGAGAACATGAAGGATGCTGACCTCATGGGGTGATAGTAAGAGTGAAGGGAGATAAAACAAGGACTGCTTTCCATAATGCTTGGTGAATAGTACTATTAGTAATGATTATTAATGATTATTAATTAATTAGTTATTGGACTTCCCTGGTGATTCAGTGATTAAGAATCTGCCTTGTAATGCAGGGGACACGAGTTCCATCCCTGGTCAGGGATGCCCCAACCTACAATGCCCCACAACGTTTTGCCAACAAAGGTCTGTGTAGTCAAAGCTATGGTTTTTCCAGTAGTCATATACAGATGTGAGAGCTGGACCATAAAGAAGGCTGTGGTTGTTGTTCAGTCACTCAGTCATGTTGCACTCTGCAACCCCATGGATTGCAGCAAGCCAGGCTTCCCTGTCCTTCACTGTCTCCTGGAGTTTGCTCAAACTTATATCCATTGACTCAATGATGCCATCCAACCATCTCATCCTCTGTCGCCCCCCTTCTACTCTTGTTCTCAGTCTTTACAGCATCAGGGTCTTTTCTAATGAATCAGCTTTTTGCCTCAGGTGGCCAAAGTATTGGAGTTTCAGCTTCAGCGTCAGTACTTCCAATGAATATTCAGGGTTGATTTCCTTTAGGATTGACTGGTTTGATCTCCTTCCTGTCCAAGGGACTCTCAAGAGTCTTTCCTAGCACCACAGTTTGAAAGCACCAATTCTTCAGCACTCAGTCTTCTTTATGGTCCAACTGTAATATCTATACATGACTACTGGAAAAACCATAGTTTTGACTAGATGGACCTTTGTTGGCAAAGTGATATCTCTGCTTTTTAATACACTGTCTAGGTTTGTCATAGCTTTCCTTCCAAGGAACAAGTGTCTTTTAATTTCATGGCTGCAGTACTGTTTGCAGTGATTTCAATGTTAAGATGGTTATAATGTCCTTTATAATTGGTATCTATTTTTCATCAAAAGAAGGAGATTTAAATAATTTATTATAATCTTTAGCTGTAAGTCAACTAAAAACTTACTTACAGTGTATTCACTTTCAATGTTTTCTTCCTGAAATTTTCTCTTTCCTTATATTCTTTTTCACATCTCTCTACAGTATGGATGGAGCAGATCTGTGTTTTGAAATCGTAAAACGAGCTGATGCTGGTTTCGTATACAGTGAAGCTGTCGCCAGGTATGTAATTTGTATCAACTTCCCAAAGTAAAGGTAGAAGTAAAAGGGAGATGACAAGGAAATCACATGAAGCGTCCTGCTCTTTGAATGACAAGCAGGAAAGGAGCATCTCTTAATTTGCCTTAGTGGAACCAAAGAGTGACCGGAAATGCAAAATATTAAACAGTGAATTTATTTATATGGATTTAGAATTTAACATCACCACTGCTGTCTTTTCCATTTCTGATGACTTTTATACAAGGAGGAATTTGATAGGTCAGGAACTATGTAGAAGGAAACTTGGGGGTTTTTTTGGTGTGTTTTTGATTTTTGCTTTTTAGCAGATGTGCCTCCTTAGTTCTTCAGTTTGCCTTTTAGTGATAGCAGATTGTATTGTGACCAGTGAATCTGAGAAAAAGCACGGAACAGCAGAACAACAGAAATAACAGCACAGTTTTTCTGCTGAATATATTGGATCTCCCAATCAATCACTGTAGTCATCATGGTTCCAAGTGGAGGAGTTCCTACTCAAAATAAGGATTTAATATGAAAAATCACAGGAGCCATGCACTGGGTCACTTGCCTATAGATTTGGAGAAGTACATCTTTCTGCTTTGTGACTCTCTAATCATATCATAAATACCCACTCCAATAAGTTGCCTTTTAATACACGGGTTACAGCAACCCTCTTTAGTCACTAACCTTGTTATGTCAAAGGGTTCAAACCTATAAGGATTTATTAAAACTTTCTACCATTTGGGAAACAGTTACCATTAAATGATTATAACATTCTCCCTCCTACCATTCTTTTTATAATTATGGCACAATGGACAGATATGGCTGAAAACAGCTTAGAGACTACTACCCCCATGCAACTTTAAGCTCAGAGTGACTTGACTTTCTTCAGATTCTTTGCACAGTCTTCTCCTGACTGAGCAGCAAGGGCCCCCATTTCAGGAGGTGGAGCAGCCATAACTATAACACAAGATGAAGAATATACTAAATTTTAGGTAGCTGCTGTTTTCTACTCCTGGAGCTAGGGGGAGGAAGCAAATGAGAGTTTATATGTATTAGCTTTAGTTCCTTCTTTTAACTCCTGATTTATTCATGGTAGAACTGAGGCCAAATATCCTTTTTTATTTTGTGCCATGTTCACTAAAAGCGTATTCTAGAGTTTTCTTTTTTTTAATCCCATTTTGCTTTTGTATTCTTATCACAATTAAAAGTTTTTATTTTGTATTGCATTTTAGAATTTTAAAACATTCTTTAATAATCAATGCTATCTTGATTTTTCTTATGGCATAGTGGTATGCCACTTTCTCCTACTAAATGAAACCCTCAGATTTTGCATAGCATTATTCATATTTCTTCAAGAATTAGAGTTTTGTATTTTTCCATATTGTTATCTTTCAACAGCAGCATCAAATAGGGAAAACTAAAAATTCTGGATGTTGATTTTATAAAACAGTGAAACTTGATGGAGGAAGATGACTTTTTCCTTTTTGAACCACAAAGATACTGGAATACCTGGCAGATAGGCTGTTGGAGTTGATGTTAAACCACTACTGCTAAAACTCTGTTCCATACTCATCCATTACTTTGCCAACAAAGGTCGGTCTAATCAAAGCTAAGGTTTTTCCAGTAGTCATGTTTGGATGTGAGAGTTGGACTATAAAGAAAGCCGAGTTTATATGGACTATAAACTATAGTCCATGGACTATAAAGAGTGCCGAGGAATTGATGCTTTTGAACTGTGGTGTTGGAGAAGACTCTTGAGAGTCCTTTGGACTGCAAAGAGATCCAACCAGTCCATCCTAAAGGAAATCAGTCCTGAATATTCATTGGAAGGACTGATGCTGAAACTGAAACTCCAATACTTTGGCCATCTGATGTGAAGAACTGACTCATTTGAAAAGACCCCAATGCTGGGAAAGATTGAAAGTGGAAGGAGAAGGGGATGACATAGGATGAGATGCTTGTATGGCATCACCAACTCAATGGACATGAGTTTGAGTAAACTCTAGGAGTTGGTGATGGACAAGGAGGCCTGACATACTGCAGTCCATGGGGTCACAAAGAGTCGGACACAACTGAGCGACTGAACTGAACTACTCATTCCTATTACTTTTCTTCAGCTTTGAGCCTGTCTCTGCCACTGTGCTAGGTGTTAGAACATGAAGAATACCAGTGTTGTAGAGATGATGTCATAGAGTGAAATGACTGGAAGTCTCTCACAATCTTGAGATTTATAGGAAAGTTAGATGTTTATGTACATCAAGATGAAAGTCTGTTGATTTTAAAAATCCACCTATATTGCTGTTAAAATGGTGATTTTATGAAAGGAACTTACCAGAATGGACCAAAGAAAAGAGTAATATTGGGATCAATAAATGACACTGCAAAGAGAGAGATTTGGCAAAATTTATTAAAACCCTTCCTAAAAATGACAATAGGGAGGGACCTCAGAAAGTATGATTAGGTATGTCCCCTATTGCAGAGTACCAGTGACCATGTAACCAAGGGCACATAGATCCTTCCTTTGGTTTAGAGCATTCAACCAGATGACTTCTACCTTCCTTCTCTCTGATCCTATGCTCCATTGTTGGGAAATGCAGCTTGTATCGTTTGTTCTAGTGAGACCAAGTGAAAGAAAACTCAGACACCAAGTAATCGTACTGATAGTGTTGTTTTTCTCCAGCTGGCTGACCTTCAAGAGGAGTAGCAAAGCGTGACATGAAAGAAAACTGCGTTCAGTCCTTACAACCCAATTACTGATTACCTCTGTTTTTCAGAGGTGGTGAGTTGTGGAGTAAACTAATACACAGGATCAGGTTATCAAATCAAAGTCTCACAAATCAGAGAGATATTCTTCCCTAGCACCAGGCTTTACTGAACAATTGTAAGGATACAGCCAATCAAAAGACCCAACTGAAGCTGAGAGAGATCTGGGCCTTTTAAGGGCAGCTCTTCACTTCTTCCTGCATCAGAAAAGCACCGCTGGCCCAGAATAGATGAGGTCTCTACATGAGGTCTGTGAGATTCCACACATGGAGGGGAGCATTTCAACTATGAAGCATCTCCACTAGAGAGTGGTATAGCTTACACGCCATCCTCCATGAAGCCAGTGATGCCTCAGGGATCCTGGGTTCTGTTTATGATAGGCAGTCCTTAGCCAGGGACATTCTGTTAAGGGAATTCTAGAGATAAGCTTTCTTCAGCCTTTATTTTAAAGTTTGGAGAATGAAAGATCCGGATAGAAAAAAACAAAATTAAATAAATACTAACCAATAAATAATGCTAAGTATATTGCATTTCTGTGTCATGGCTGGTTGGGAAGGAAAGGGGGGACAATGAGAAAGGAAGATAGTAGGAAGAAAATGACAGATATGTAGGGAATAAAATTCAGAGGAAGAGAAGATGAAAAAGACCCTGAAAGAAAAAGAGAAACAGTAGGATTATAGAAGAAGAACTTTAGAACTGAGAGAAGGAAATTGAAGTAAGTTCTCAAGTAATACTGAATGAACTGCTCTTGTCACACCCAGTGGCTAGTTGACCCTGTTAGCACTTTTAAATGCTGACTCCTCCTCTGTTCTTCTCCTGAACCCAGTGCAAAGCCTCGGTGGACCCTGCTGGCCTTGTGAGGAGTTTGATTTTCCTAGGACTTCAGCCCAGAAGGAATCTGCTTTGTTCAGGGATGCCCCATCTAATACTTGATCATGTTGCAAAAAGAAATTGTAGGCATAAGGGGGTTCTCTCTTGTTTGTTCTTAGAGCTAAATGGAAATAAGACAGCTAACCAGCCTCTGCTGGCAGATGAAAGGCTCCTACCCCTTGAGTTAGAATTCTTTGTGTACTTCTGAGCACTGCTCACTTCATAGCAATCCAGAGTAACTAAGTAAAATTAACTGAGTGTCAGAGAACTGTTATTTATTTTTGTCACGTTTTAAGGTTGAACTTTTAGTTTGCAGAGCTATTTTACCTATGAGCTGTGTGAATGTGTGAAAATTCCTTTGACTTAGGTATCTTAGAAAATGTAGAACACATTATTTCTTCATAAAGCTCATAAACTTATGCGTCTGCCAACTTTTTCATTACTAAGCTGTGCATTCCACCAATCTTGTCTACTCAAATGAAAAGTATCTGTGGGCAGCGAGTATGAAGGTGGGAGTTATAAACTAGGGACATTGTATATTAAGTTTTAAAAATAAAAGATTTTTTTACAGTTCTAGATTTCTTTTGTTTTTCTACAGTCATTACATGAGACAGATACTGGAAGCTCTACGCTATTGTCACGATAATAACATAATTCACAGGGATGTGAAGGTAAGTCATTTTTATTACTAACTAATATTTGTGAATAGAAACTGACTTATAACAATGATAGTAATGAGAAATTTTTCTTTAATGTTGTTATGAAGAACATCTTAAAGTTAATTTTACTTACAAATAAAAATTTGTTAAACTGGTTTATATTTGGAGAGTTGTAGTAATTCTTAATAGGAACAATTTTTTATCATTTCCATTTCCTTATTTTTATTAAAATGTAGATGCATTCTAAAATTCCATTATTCTTTCTTTGCCATTGTGTGTGTGTGTGTAAGAGAAGTGTGAAAATCCAGTAAATAGAAAGAACAAACAATATCCTGCACTAAGTTAATTGAGGGGAAAATGAGAATTTGGTTGATATAGGAATAGTTCATCACACTTACATTTCTGTAATGTTGCAATGTAGAATAGTCAGCATTTTATTTTCTTTGCAGAGAGTTTTGAAACATAGTCTGAAATCATAAATTATAATACAGTTTGTACCCTTAGGAATATGAATATTACCATTATTCAGTCTTTATGCCTGTTTGATCCCAGTATCAACTCATGAGAACTGTCAGTTCCTGGCTCATCATGATGTCAGGCAGAACATGGAAGCATGAAACAAAGGAAGACATGGCCCTCCTCCTCATACCTACCCCTTTTCAAGGCCTTGAGTCGCTAAGAGCCCCTGTGATCTCTCTGGCCCTATTGTCCACTTTCACATGCTCCTGTTTTTGTCACTGGTTTCTCTCTAACCTATAGCATCCATAGGTACAGTGCTCTTCTTCTCTCAAGAAATATTATCAAAGGCCTGGCTTCTTCAGTAGATTTTAATGGTAAAGAAAATTAAGTAGAATTTAATTAAATTTTCTGTAACATCTGAGAAATTTTAACTGAAATTCTGGTGGTTAAAAGCTGAGGGAAAGCATGAGCAATTCCAAACCAATCTAGTGGAATGTTATAATAGCAATGAAAAATCACTGGAGAAATGTACAAAATACACATTAGTGTAAATTAGTTGTAAAATATCTTATTCTTTTCAAATGTGGTGATAGGAAAGTGATATTGTTATTATCTCCACTCAACATTTTAAACAACTCAGTGGATACATAGCACTTTTATAAGCAAGTATTCTTCAGTTATGCAAACAAAGGGAGGGAGAAGTATAGAAAGATAAGGGGGGTGGGGAATGGTCAGTGATTGCAATGTGCCATATTATTCTTTTGCATTTAATTAATAGAATAAAATGCATATATACAGCATGAACTATATCTCTATAAATGACAATCTGTGGGAGTTCCCTGGTAGTCCAGTGGTTCAGACTCCACACTTCCACTGCAGAGGGCGTGGGTTTGATACCTGGATGGAGAGCTAGGAGTCTGCATACGATGCAGTAAGGCCCCCCAAAAAAAGATCATTTGAAAAGTTAAAATATGTAAAACAGGGGGCTTCTGTGATAGGTCAGTGGTAAAGAATCCACCTGCCAATTTAGGAGACAGGGGTTCTATCCCTGGCCCAGGAAGATCCCACATGCTGCAACTACTGAGCCCATGCGCCATACAACTAAGCCCATGCACCACAATTACTGAGCCTGTGCTCCGGAGCGCACATGCTGCAGCTGCTGAAGCCCATCCACCCCAGAGTCCGTGCTCTACAACGAGAGAGGCCGCCGCAGTGAGACACCCGCACACTGCAACTGGAGAACAGCCTGCGCAGCAGCGAAGACCCAGCACAGCCAAAATAAATAAATACAATTTTTTAAAATATGGAAAACAAATTCTGAGTTCATGTAGTAGCATTGTGTTAAAGACTGTTGCTCAAGAGGCAATTTTTTAAAATTGAGATATAGTTAACGTTTAAAGTGAGTGAAAGTGAAGTCACTCAAGTCGTGTCCGACTCTTTGCGACCCCATGGACTGTAGCCTATCAGGCTCCTATGTCCGTGGGATTTTCCAGGCAAGAATACTGGAGTGGGATGCCAACGTTTAGCATTATATTAGTTTCAGGTATACAGCATAATGATATATGTATATATTGTGACATGATCACCACAGTAAGTCTAGTCTCTGTCACCAAGCAAATGTACAATATAATATTATTGACTAGTCACCGGGCTGTACATTACATCTCATGACTTATTTATTTCTGTGATTGGAAGTCTGTACCAATTACCCTCTTCACCCATTTTGTTCCTCCAACCCTCTTTCTCTCTGGCAACCACCATTCTGGTCTCTGTGTCTGTGATTTTTGTTTTGTTTGCTCATTTGCTCTGATTTTGAGATTCAGTGTATGACTGAAATCTTATTTGTCTGTCTCTATCAGACTTACTCAACATAATACCCTCAAGGTCCATCCACTTTGTCACAATGGCAAGAGTTCATTTTTTTTTTACGACTGAGTAGTATTCTGTAGTATTCTGTTGTATATCTTTCTTCATTTACCTGTCAATGGACACTTAGGTTGTTTCTATTTTGGCTAATGTAAATAACGCTGCAGTAGCATGGGGGTGCATATATCTTTTTAAAGTAGTGTTTTTGTTTTCTTCAGATAAGTACTCAGAAGTCAAATTGCTCAATCATTTGGTAGTTCATGTTGAAAGTGAAAGTCATTCAGTCGTGTCCAACTCTTTGCGACCCCATGGACTACACAGTCCATGGAATTCTCTAGGCCAGAATACTGGAGTGGGTAGCCTTTCCCTTCTCCAAAGGATCTTCCCAACCCAGGGTTCAAACCCAGGTCTCCCTCATTACAGGCAGATTCTTCACCAGCTGAGCCACAAGGGAAACCCAAGAATAGTGGAGTGGGTAGCCTATCCCTTGTCCAGTGGATCTTCCCAACCCAGGAATCGAACTGGGGTCTCCTGGATTGCAGACAGATTGTTTACCAACTGAGCTATCAAGGAGGCCCCCATATGGCAGTTCTATTTTTAGTTTTTTGAGGACCCTCCTTACTGTTTTCTAGAATGACTGCACCAATTTACATTTCCACCAATAGTGTATGAGGGTTCCCTTTCTTTCTACATCTTCACCAACACTTATTTCTTACCTTTTTGATGATAGTTATTCTAACAGGTTAGGAGGTGATCTCTCATTGTGGGATTTGCATTTTCCTGATGATTAGTAATGTCAAGCATCTTTTCATGTGCTTGTTGGCCATCTGTCTTATTTGGAAAAATGTCTGTTCAGATCCTCTGCCCACTTTTTTTTTTCCATTTATTTTTATTAGTTGGAGGCTAATTACTTTACATCATTACAGTAGTTTTTGTCATACATTGAAATGAATTAGCCATTGGTTGCTTCCATGTCCTGGCTATTATAAACAGTCTCTGCCCACTTTTTAAATCAGATTGTTTGGAATTCTGTTACTGAGTTGTTAGAAGCAATTTTATTTTGAATTCTGTTCTTGAGAGGTAATTATATCAGCATCATATGAGAAATAATGATGGACAACACACTCTACTGTAATACTTTCAATAATATAGTCAGTCAGCTTTTTGGTTGGCCATGGTATTTTGTATAATGACAATCCAAAACCAAATACAATATCTAAGTAGTTATGTTTGAATACTGTGCTTCAGCTTCTCATTTACATTCTGATTGATTTATTCAACAAATATCCAAGTACCTACTTCACACAGTATACTGTGTCTAGAGTCCTAAAGGCATTATGGTCTCAGTAGACAGATGAAATAGTGTATCTGTTACCAACTGCTGCACATCAACACACAGTGACTTGGAGCAATCACCATTTATTTGCTGATTTATTTGCTGTCAGTTCTGCAGTTGACAAAGCTTGAGGAGGACTGCTCAATTTTGTCTCACAGGCTGTTGGCTAAGGTGGCATGGCTAGTATCCACAAAGGCTTCACTCACTTTTCTGGCATCTCAGCAGAAGTGAATAGAACAGCTGGAAGCTGGCTGGGCCCTCTTTGCAGTCTCTCATTCAGAACCTCTCTCTCTCTCTCTCTCTCTCTCTCTCCCCCTCTCCCCGCCCCTTCATTTCATGGCCTCCCTTTCTAGCAGGACAGTGTCTCATGGCACCAAAGGAGCAAAAATGAAGCCTCAACCTAGAATTGGCACCATGTCATGTCTTCTGCCTTCTGTTAGTCAAAATGTCACAAGAGCAGCCTGGATTCAAGAGGAGGAAAAACAGGTTGCACCTTTTAGTTAGAGGAGTAACATAGGTGCACAAGGATAGGAGAACTTGTTCATGGCCATCTTCACAGATAGGCAAAACAAATAATCATCATCCAGGGTATGGGGTGGGAAATATTAAAAGATAGACTCATAGAAACCTCACGGAAAAAGTTGCATTTGAGCCTACTCTTGAGTCATGGGAGAGTTACAACAGGATGAGAGGACATTTCAAGCAACAGGAATAGTGTAGGCAAAGGCTCAAAGTTACTGTAATAAATTTTAGTAAACTTATTATATCTAACGAATAATATATTTTGAGGAAGCATCCAGAAACATGAACTTCCCAGGTGGCAATGGTAGTAAAGAACCTCCCTGCCAATGCAAGAGACACAGGTTTGATCCCTGGGTCAGGAAGATTCCCTGGAGGAGGGCACGGCAGCTCACTGCAGTACTCTTGCCTGGAGAATCCCATGGACAGAGGAGCCTGACAGGCTGCAGTCCATAGGGTTGCAGAGTCGGACACAACTGAAGCAATATAGCAGGCACACACACATCCAGAAGCATTCTAAGGAAGGGAAGAGAGAAGTGATTCTCAAACTGCAAGTTAATAAGAAACCACCAGAAAAGGCACCATTGTTGAATTGGGAAACAGACTCAACACAGAGCACACATTATTATTGATATTCTTTGTATTTCAGTACCTGAAATCTGTACATTTCGCTTGGTAACTATAGTGCTCACATTTAGCTAGTCGGTAAATTGGGATTGGGTTTTTTTTCTTCTTAAGACATCCATCCAAAAATACATATCGAGTGCCTACTCTGTGTCTAGCACTATCCTAGGAACCAGATCTACATCATCGAACAAAACAGACCAAATCA